TCGGCGGACAGTGTTAGTTGGTACACGAGCTGTCGAGCGAATGACGTTAGGCGTGTAATAATGCAACAACAGCGAAAATTGTGGCTTCTAATTATTTAAACACGTCGTGACGAGAAAACGAGAGAAATACTTATAGGACTATTTTGTAAGAGCGTTCATTACGGGTCGTTACATGACGTAAGTAGGGTACGTTTAATATATGCCACATTTTTATACAATGCCGTATGAAAGTAACGTAGGAGAAGCAGCTCTTCAGCCAACCATCTACGCGTATAATTCTACTCTGTCTTTATTATGTCATTAATTATTCGACTTTTCGTGTATTGTGCAAAATTGTTTTGATCAAAAAGAAATTCTTTGCGGGCAAACTTCTTCCTCGATGGCTCAGTCAGCTCGACAGCGTAATTTTAAAGAAGGGCCTACATCATCGAAAATCGTGTGCGTTCTGTCGCGCCGACTGGACGAAGAATAGCGATGTAGCATAAAGGGGATAGTTGACGGTTTAATCGGACGGGCAACTATATTAAACGCGCGCGGCGAACTTTTTGGAGAACTATATACCGATAGTTATTGGAGCGTGAATGAGACATTCACGGGATTTTCGGCAGATATTTATTGCTATTATTATTTATCAAAAGTAGAGTATTTACGGAGCGGTTTCGTTCGCTTGTTGTGTTTTGAGAGAGATATAACGAAGAAACGAGAGCATGCAGGCCATTTTTGTCCCCTGTAACGGAATGTACAGTGTGCTTGTGTGCGCGCGCGAAAGTGTATATGAGAGTGCAAGAGAATGGAGATGAAAACGGAAAATGGAATCCTTTTAGCGAACGAACACGATTGTAAGCGGCACCAAAAAAAAAGAAGAGAAACGAAACTAGTAGGGACAAACGACTTATCGTGATCGCATTACCGGTTAACAAATTTAGAAAAAAAAAACGCGACATACGAATGCACTGTCGATGTATAATATAAATATTATTGCAGATAACATAGCTATATACGTATTATATCAATTGTCAGTGGTATTACAATAAGAGATGATAATTTTATATTTACAAGATAGAGAGATCGTTAAATCTAAATGAGTGTAATATACATATGTACGATGAAATTCCCTCCCGATCTCCCTCCTTTCCTTCCCCCCGTACCCTAACTCCATGCTAGGACAAATTAGCAGAAGCTACCTTATTTAATATTTGGCATAATATTTATATATAAATATAAATATATAAATATGAATATATATATAAATATAAATACAAATATAAATATACATATATATACATACATGAGAGATAGGACATAAAGTAAAAAAAAAAGGAATAGTCTCGGGGAGCAATATTTGCCGGACCCGAGGAAAAGTATGAAGCTATGTGATCCACTACTACTAGTAGCTTTTAGCTGTAAAGACTTATACTTTATTTTGTAAATTTTGTTTATACAATGTTTGATCGTTCACGCATAATACTATTGTATGTGAAACTAAGTTAATAAATCATTAACATGTGAAGTTGAATCTTGTGTGGTCCATTTCATTGACGATTCATGCATAAATAAGATTGTTCTGCCAATTCTGTTTCTCCATTCAATAGAATCTCTTTTTCTTTATTTGATTAACAATTTTTAATTATTCTCTTCTGATATTTTTCAATTTATATTTAACGCAATTAATTCAACGTGAACTTTTTTCTACTCTAATTCAATAAAATTTAACATTTTGTTCAACTAGTGTAAAATTACATTTGTTTTTTCATATCACTGTTATTAATTTTATTTTAAAAACATTTTATATTGGAGACAAGATAAAAAGACCCATTTAATGTAATTTATCATTGCTTTTAACAAAATTAATTTTATTTGAAAAATACATTTTTTACGCTTGGTAGTTGATAAATTTTATGTTAATAATACTGGAAATAAATTATCAATAAAAAAAATATATATATATATTTTATAAATGATAAAATAATATTTTTTGTGCGCACTGAAAACAGCACCATCTAGTAAAGGGTAGGTTGACTCATATAAGGGTTGATTTGATTAATCGATTTATATCAAATTTCGTGTTATTTTTTAGATGGAAAGACTTGTATTCTTTAAAATGGAGATGATGCAAAATATTAATCTTGAGAATACGCTCTTATCATTTCTTTATCAACTACAATCAAAAAGATAGTGAGAAAATTGCCGACACAGTATCATTCTAGAGCGACATCTTTTTGGTGGCGAAACTAGATGTCGGGTCCATCCTTGATAGAGGGATAATAGCATAGAAAATTTTAAAGATATTAATATTCTGTTAATAAATATTGATCTGTATACGTAAATGTAGAAAGTTTGCGTGTAAAATGTTTTTCTCTCATCGATAAAATTTCCATTTACATTTAAATTCAAAGTTCTATATAATGAAATTTTAATCAATCTTGTTCGAGAAAATGTAGTTAGTAAAAAAGAAGGATAAATTAAATATATTTATAATAGTTAAACAAGAATAGAAAGTTTGTGTTAATTTTATACTTTATTATGAGCTACGTAGATTCAAGCATAATTATCGCGTAACTTTCCAGTTCATTAAAGCACAAAAAGGCGCCTACGTTCAATTAAAAGATGCTTAGGAAATCTATAAATGCCGGGAAAAAATGTCGCGTCACCGTTACTCGGAGGAAAAGCAGAATTCAATTGGCAAATAATACATACGCATATTGATTTTCAACTGAATGGCATCGGGGATTTATGATCAGCCTCCCGTGAAATTTCTCTCGCATCGGGTTATCGTTTTCGCGTGCCTTAGTAT